GAAATTTTTTTTTTAAAACAATTGATTTACTCAATTTGTTTAAAAAAAATTATCAACAATGGCGGGAAATTTTTTTTGCAAATCAATAAATATCTTGTATTAATATAAAAACGATAATATGATGATTTAGAAAAAAAAAAATTTTTTAACAACATTACTTGGATTTTTAAGTTTTTGTTTAAGTAAAAAAATTGTTATAAACAAAGTATAAATATTTCTTTAACTTTTATGGCACGATCTTGTTAAGTATGTATGTAAGAAAGGCTCTACGAAGCGAAATATTTTTACGACCATTATTAAAACATTTTTTTCACTTACAATTAAGACGGTCGTTCGAGAAAATTTCGTTAGTTAACAATTATTTAACTTGTTGAAAAATTAACTTTAAGTAAAATTTCCAACGGGAATAAATTAATTATAGTGTTCAGAACACACCATAATTTTTTCAAATTTAAAAAAAATATTCAATACCTTAAATAAATTAATTAATGTGCCGTAGTCGCTTTTTGACGCCACGCGCGAATCCTAAAAATGTCACGCACAGACCTATTTTCAGCGTTAAATTAAAGTTATAAATAATGGAGATAGAGTTCCGGGAGCTGAGAGTTTTTTATTGGAAATTTCCTCCTCTTTCAGAATCTTTATTTGAAATTTCTTAAATATTAATAGTTTATTAAATATTGGCAAAAACTAAATTCCATTTTTTTTCATCTTTAATGGTCTATAACTTTTGCAATTTTTTATGTGCTAATACACGCTTTTAGCACATTTTTCTAGGCGTCATTCCGGTTCGAATGAGCTATCGCACATAATTTTAAGAGCAGTATCTCTATTTTGTTCCATTTTCAACTTGTCGACTAGACTATATGTACTACAATGCATACATCGTCTTATGATGTATATAAAATCTCCTATTTTAATAAATAAATATAACGTAATAGTATTTGTACAATTTCCAAAGCAGTCTTAGAAAAGAGCTCGCACCAGCACTTCGTATCTTAAAGCCTTCAAAACCCTTTAAGAAAATGTATAGTTCGGCGTTTATAAGCCTTTCTTATAACTGATTATATAATTCAAAGCTTGTCATGCATTTCTTTATTCTATGAATAGTAATATCTCACGATTATTTGTAAACTGTCGCTAACTACGCCATTACGTCCCGTTATTTATAACAAAAGGTAAAACATAGGTCCTTTGCGTAACCCCTGAGGCATGCCCATGATTATAAGCTGCAACTATTCATGATTCACTGGACATGTGCTATTCTTCTCACACTGATATAGATTCCGGATTCTTGAGATTTTTATCGCTTTGTTTAAATTACATCATACATCGAGCGTTCTCCTATGTTATAGTTTATGACTGTTTTAATGAGTCTTACAGTTACTTTTTTGTTGGGCGTTCTAAGGCCAAATGTATATAAAAATTAAAAGAAATAATAAATCAGTGGCGCTACAACCTTTTTAGGTCTTGGTCTGAATCTGTTTCATGATCATTTTTAAATCTAATAGGCAAGTAGCCACGACGCACAACGTCGACTTTTCGGGTCTAAGACATGTCGGTTTCCTCACGATGTTTTCCTTCACCGTTCGAGCAAATGTTAAATGCGCACATAGAAAGAAAGTCCATTGGTGCACAGCCGGGTATCGAACCTACGACCTCAGGTATCAGAATCGCACGCTAAAGTCACTAGGCCAACATATATAAAAATTAATAATTATTTAATTGAAAATTTGACATCCTTCTAGACAAATATATTATAACAGTTGTTTTTAGAATCTTTATCAGAAAATAATGTAATATCGTATATCAAATAACATTTCTGAGGTTTTTAAAGGTATAAGATATTTATTTCTCATTAAGAATAATAATAATAACATTCACTTACATGAGAAATTATCTAGCAACTAAACTTATTGTGTATTACACAAATAAAAACGCAATTTAAAAAAACAATCATAGATGTGACGGTTTTTAAAATATTGTTTTTATGATGCGCAAACCGTATTGCCTAGAAACGCGACCAAAACTTTTTTTACTGTTTTAATTTTATTCGATTATGACACCTCAGATAAAACGTATAGGATCACTGATCAGCGTAACGTGTTATTTTGTTAACAGTTTAAATGATCTGTACTCACCTGTACGCAAATCTTATCAAAGAGAAAGTTGCTCCATTGCATAGCCATTGCTATACCGCAATGTTGCGCATTTGTGGAATTTCTTATCTGTATTAGGTAACTATTGAAACAATAGAAGCCAGTGAACATTTGATAGCAAGATAACGTAGCTCCCAGGCAGTCTGGAGCTGACCTGACCTAGCTGACTTGGCAACTATTAAATTTATGAAATCAACAAGATCAGTCTAAAGTCTATTTTGCATAACAACAACTTTTCATATGAAGTACCTATGGCTAATTGAGTAGTGGTTGCTTAGTGCCTATTTTTAAATCTATTCGGTTAAATTGCTCGATGGTGAACATGACCTGACGGTCACAGAAGGTTTGAAGAAGAATAGCTGCAGCTGAGTTTCATCATCGTACCTCGAGGCAGAATACGAAATTCCACCCGTATCACCTCGACGTTCCACAACTGAGCATTTGTCAAGGCAGTTTTTGCCGCGCACCACCACTATGTGGAACCAGCTGCCCACCGAAGTATTTCCGGACCAATTCGACTTAGTGTCCTTCAAGAAAAAAGCGTACCAATTCTTGAAAGGCCGGCAACGCACTCGCGAGCCCTCTGGCATTGAGAGTGTCCATGGGCGGCCGTATCACTTAACATCAGATGGGCCTCTTGCCCCATGTTCTATTAAAAAAATCGCTGTCAAAGTCTGACAAATAATTCCTGTCCGTAAGGAAGAACGTTGTTGTTGAATGTTTTCTCTCTATGCCAAGATTTTTAAATCTATATGGTTAATTAGCTGGTTTGGTGAACATGAAGATTTGTCGCCCCCAATAATATCGATTTGCAGTCCCCAAAAATATTCCTATCCGTTAGGAAATGAGTGTAAACTAATACTGGTCAATCTTTTTCCTTGTGCAAGTAAAAGTTTAAACCGAATAAGGAACTTGACAATTTGATGTGTTAAACAACACATTCTTAACAAAATGAAGAACAATTGAACTCGAACTTCAAAGCTAAATCAAGACCCACTGACACTGCATTTCACAATCTTGCATTAGCCAGTTGGTACCGTTTTAAAATATTATTAATAAGAGCACTAATGAACGACTTGTGGGAACCCAGCGCCATTGTTGGCTGTTCCCGCTGCGCTCGCTGATAACGAACACCAATTATACTTGTTTGTCCGGGTTATTAATTAGACACTCTTACTGAAGCGTTGAGGATCATAATGGCTTTATCGTAATGGTCTATTCGTACCAACTGTTAATCTAGAAATTTTACTATGAAAATTCTTCTAGAATGTGTTCAAACTCAAAATATCTTTATTCATGTAGGTAAACAAGTACACTTATGAATTGTCAGAAAGAAGTTAAATTAATTGTAAATTTACATTTACTACCAGTTCGCAAGTCAAGGGCGCAGAGCGGGTAAGAGCGAGTTGAAAGGGATACCCATGACAAAACTCTAATGTTTTTGAATATATGAATTATTATACGGATTATTATTATTATTAAGGTCTTCAGCGATAATTTGACATAAAAGAAATTCCTTTTTTAAAATAAACTTGAATCTATCTAAAATACATATTATAGAAGTACAGTCAAAACCGGTTATAACGACATTGAAGGGACCGTATAGTTGCCGACGTTATATCCGATAGTCGTTATAAGCAATGTCATATACACAAGTACAGTACATATGTATGTACATAGTTATCGATCTAGAATAGGTAGGTATGGGTTATAATATGGTATGTTAATATTATAATATGTAAACGAGTCATAAAAGAAACAAAAATATTTATTACGAAATAATTAGGTACAAAAGTAATCAGTCAGTCTGTTTTTTTTTAGCCCAGTCTCAAATATTTTTTGCATTTTACGTTTCATATTCCTCAAGGTATGAGTATCACCAGTATCAAACTGTTCGTTAAAGGCAACAAATTTTTGCAAAATCGTTACAGCGTTAAGAGCCTCGGAAATCGTTGTTGGCTGAAACTGTTCGTTGGGAGAAAGTGCGTAGGTAACAAAATGCCTAAATATTCATTCAATGCTTATAAATAAAATTTAAAATCGTTTGTATTGTTTTGTTTTACTGAGACAAGAAGCGGTTGGTCGTTATATCCGATGAATATCGATAAACTTTCGTCGTTGTAAGCGATATGTCGCTGTATCCGATGTTGTTATAAGCGGTTTCTTTACTGAATAGTTTACTAGGGATTCGGACGGGACCATACAATCTGGTTGTAATAACCGATAGGTCGTTGTAAACGATGTCGTTATAAACGGTTTTGACTGTATTAATTAGTTCATTAATAAACAAACTGAAGATAATTTAAGACTTCCTTTTCGAGTAACAAGATCGGTACTATATATTAAAATAAAAAATATATCGTGATACAAAAAACATTTCAAAATTTAATTTTTAACGTTAAATGTAAGGTTAATTAAAGAAGCTTTTTATAATAACATTTTTACTATGTGAAAATTTTATTTCATTTTCAATTAAGAATTGTTTCTAACTCACACTCAATAGTTTACTTTTTATCAAGCAATTAAAGAACGAAGCCGCTTAGTAATCACGACAGGATAAAACCTAAGGTCTTTGAACGAACTTGATGAAAACATAATAGATCGTTAATTTTTACACATCTAATCCAATTATAATAATTTCTACATTAGTTTTTGCGTCATATAATGCTTAATTAAGTAAAAATTAAATAGTTTCTATTACATAAATTACCCACAATTAGAACAAGTGTCTATTATTTTAATTATCTAAAGAATTGAAGAAAACCTTTATAATTGACGGGCCAATAGATTTAAGACGTTATATATTTTATAATTTACTGTATATTCATTAATCTTTCACAGATAATACTAGCGGATGAGTGCACGGAGGCAGAAGGTCGCGCGTGGCACATGAAGCATTTCGCGTGTGCAGAGTGCGCGCGGCAACTCGGCGGACAACGGTACATCATGCGGGAGGCGCGTCCGTACTGCCTGCCCTGCTTTGACAGCTGCTTCGCCGAGTACTGTGACGCTTGTGGTGAGCCTATTGGTGTAGACCAGGGCCAGATGTCGCATGAGGGGCAGCACTGGCACGCCACAGAACGATGTTTCGCCTGCCATACCTGCCGCGCAAGCCTACTTGGTCGGCCTTTCCTCCCACGGAAAGGTGCAATCTTCTGCTCTATTGCATGTTCCAAAGGTGAGCCACCGACACCATCTGACTCATCAGGACCGGGACCTCGCCCTAATAGAGGTCCGAGACCAAGAAAAGTACCTTCACCGAAGTCACCACCGCGAACACCTCAGAGAGAGCCCTCCCCTCATATAGATGCAGATTCAGAACCAAGTGCGTCATTAGCAACGTCAGAAATGATGCCCGAATCGCCGCCTCCGCACCCACCACCACCGCCACATGCTTGCCTTAGCCTTGATAGAGCCCTTGCCGACCTAAGATTAGAGCAAACGATGACAGATCACCAAATACAAACAACGCCCATCGAAGAAACAGAAGAAGACTGGAAGCCCCCTCACCCAGTTGAAGCCCAGGCCGTGGTCACCCCAGGACATTCCACCTCAATGCCAGAGCTGACTCTAGTAGATGGAAAGAAACGAAAGCCGAGAGGTGGACGGACGGTTCGATTTTGTGGAGACAACGAGGCATTTGAACCAGATGACCCTCCTAGAAGAGAGAAAGTGCGAGATGATGATGCAAGCAGTTATTGCAGCACGTGTTCCTCTTCATCATCATCATCGGAATCATATACATTGCCAACGAGACGCGCGTACGGCGGCGTCAGGATCTCCTACGTGCCCAACGACGCAGTCGCCTGCGCGAAACGAGAACGGCAGAGAAAGAACCCACATCACGATAAAAATTGTATAATTTCGTGATCTCAGCCTTAATTCCTTTAGTGACGACAACCTCCGAACGAAAGACTGACTATTAGATTTTGTAGCCCTAACGCCATAGTATTTTAGATAAAAGTCTTCCTCATAATATATCGCTTTGTCGTTTTGTAGCGCGCTGTAATGGTTCCGTTGCACAGTAAAAGGCTTAACCAATGAATAGGCATTATATTGGTAATCCCCCAAATCACACCTTTCTGCTTAAAAGGGTCTATCGTCGACATTAAATATTTCCTATCGCCTCCGGTGGTCGGGTTAAATTATCGCGCTTTTACATATCCATGCTTTCTCATATCGTTTAAAACATTAGGCATATCTGTCTACGTATTTAAGAGTGTAAATTCGATTAAGAAGTACAAACATGTATTTTGTAACGTTTTTTATGTGTGTTCAAATTTGTATATAGAATTATGATGATTAAATGTAACTTATTAGCAAATATGTCAATGGCCTTAATTAGCCTTGAATTACCTCTGGCTAGGATTTAGGGTCGCCTTAATATTACAAAAGGTTATATATAAAAATTAATTTCACAGAAACTCGTGTACAAAGCAATAATTAAGGTAATCCCTATAACGTTGTGGAGATTTCTCAAGTTAAGTCAAATTTATAACGATTTGTCAACTCCATAATTAGTTTTGCGTACCTTTTCACATGTTTCAATTGTTTTTTATTAAATTCGTGTTCCGAGTTTTTGCTTTGTTCTTAAAACGAGAATACTCATACAACGCGATTTCCTATAACGCGTTATAAGGGGTTTACTGTACTCGCTTAAATTAAATTGTTTGATAACTTGCGGACTTTTTAAATTTTATAAAATTCTAGTATTGTATAATTTAAATCTGTATTTTTAATTTTAAGTTGATACTATAAGTGTTGACAATAATAGTCTAAAATAGCTGGGAGCTGATTTTTAGTTGAAGTGTACAAATCTCAAAATATTAATTATAATCCCATTTTGTAATAAAAATTTTCGTCAGCTCTTAGGCTATTAATAAATGCTCACAAACGTATCTTGCCTTGAGTGTCATTGTTAATTAAAGTTTTGTTTAATTGCCATCGCCAAAGTAAGGTTTTATTTTGTATATTGTAAATTAACAAGAACATTTTGTAAAATTTAAGTTATTTTATAATTATTAAATAAGAGTTTTTTATTAAATTTGTCTTTCATTTTTCAATCAAACAAAACACACACATAAACTCAATATAAAATCAACGATAGAATTGTGTCTAATTTTTTTACTAGTATGACGAATCGCCATAGGTTCTCTTTGATTAATAACACAAATATAGTTTTTTACAATATTCTTAACCTACATAATAATAATAATTAAAAATTGATCAATAGAAAACCAAAACAAATTTAAAAAGTTTGATCCCTGTTAGGAATTGCCACTTTTTTTTCAATTAAAGTACATACACAAAAACAATACATTGTATTAAAGTAAGGAACAATTTATTTTTCTTTATTATATTTAAACATATATTTTTTTATTATATACCGAGCACTGAAGTGGCCGTGTAGCGCTGGCCAGTAGTGGCGAGTGGCAACATCGATTCAGCGCCAATCGATAAATTCCGTTTAACGAAAAAATATTTACGACTAACGAATCACATCATGTCAAATAAAGTATTTTCGTGTACTTTATTGTTCTCAAAAGTATAGACACCTTGATGAAACATACAATACCTTATTATAAATTACGGGTGGCAACCCTTGTGGCAGTGTGCCTTTAATGCTGTCTAATAATTTAATTCCCGCTCATACCATGTTTGAGTTATAAGACAGAAGTCGTATAAAAATTATTTTTAGTCTATGCGGAAAGAGAATCAATGTTATTTATTTCTTATTCGTTCACAAAAACATAAATATTTTAAGTCAACGAGAATATACATCTGTCGAAGTAGACATGGGGAGAAATTGGCTGTGCCATACATTAATCTGGAATTGTATAGAAAAACACCTTTTATATACCTTATAATAAACAAAACTTCAAAAGATCCTCCTACTATAGTTTTTCAGATCGACTTAATGCACTACAGCATATTATGAAGCATTATAATTAATATAAATTTGATAACGCAATAATATATTTTAATAATTTGATACTTTATCACTAAAAATAATTTAGGAATTGACTTCTATTCTACCTTTTAAGACAAATTTGCACAAATGTGTTGCGGAATATGCGAACTTTAGATACCACAATAACATTTTTGACCCTAAGTCGTATTGATTCGGAAATACTTTAGTGGGCAGCTGATTCCGCATAGTGGTTGAAGCAAACAATATTATAGATTACTGCAGTACTGTAGGTGGTATTTAAAATGTCAGCAATCCGAACCTACCCCAACCCTTCCACAATATGCCTGAAATAGCAAAATAATTACAATAATTTAACACGTTCACCGCGCGCAACCCTTGCTGGATATTAGTGGGTAATTTATTATCTACATTAAAGGGTTGATGTAATAGTAACACAAAAAATATGGTAGAGATTCATTTGCATAATAAACTAATTCTCAAATAACAGCGAACATTATTTTTCATCGTTAATCGGACTTAGTAAAAATGAAAATCATTTCTATTGTTTCACCAAACGCATATGAAATCTCGTGCCATAGAACAACTCTTGTACGGTTCTACCTTTTCTGTGATTCTTTTTTATCAAATTAAACGTGGTAAGTATATATTACTGTATAAGTGTGAAGCTACTATACCCTTCAAGAAACCGCTTGTTATGATAATTATTTCGTCAGAGTTTAGTTGCCGAACTAAATAAATATTAATTATATTTAATTTTGGGTAAACGGAAAAACTTGATTTGGTAACATTTATTAAACTGTTGTAAATGTTACGTTATAATAGTAAATTAAGAAAATTGTAAATACTATATATTTGATTGTTATGTTTTGGTTTTAATAAACGATATTTAAGATTTGGTTAACTTCGTATGGTAAAAAAAATAATTAATATCATAAAAACTATCAAATGTGATTCCTAGATTTATATCACTCTCCGTGAGTTACAGACCACGAGTTCGTCTATTTTGTAAAACATATAAAGTTACAAAACTTAGCCATTATGAAGGATAAGCTTACAGTTATTTACTTTTCTCATTGCTCTGTTACACTCCTAAAAGCGATTGCAGTGTGACCCTGGGAAACTCAAGACGAAAATCATTTAGCACCCCTGATGGTAACGCTTAACTAACATAAATATATAACAAAAAACGATTATACTAAACATATAGCCAAAGATGGAATACGTAATATATAAAAAGGTTCAAACGTTTACGAACCAAAACGTTAATCGTTTTTTTTTTTTATGTTTACGTTTACGTATTTAATAATTTTTATTGATTTAACGAAAAAATCAAAAAAAATATTAAATACGTTTGACTAAGTAATACCTAATTCGGCTGTGTTGGGTGTGAAAGTATGTACATGAGGGTGTGTGTGGTGTGTGCTCATGATGCAGGTTATTTAGGGCTGTGGATTCTTAGTCTTAATACTTCTTTTAAGCATATACCGCGATAGCTAACAAGCCAAGTATTAAATAGATATTGACTTATATTTGAAACTTCACTCTAAAATCTACTCGTTACGTCCTAACTAGAACCAAACCAATGACAAGGTGTAATGCAAGTCCACCTGTGATTTCAATTAATGTCTGGCAACACTAACCGCGGCGTCAGCGTGAACCGTGACACAGGTGGCGTTACGGTGCGCGCGCGCAATGCACCTGAGCTTCATCGATTTTACTGTGATTGCTTACCAAATTGATTTATGTTGTAATGGCTAGTAAAATGCATTAAGGGCTCGGTCATTGGACGGCTCAATGCGAAGAAAATAACGAAGAATTAATACATTATTAACGATAGAGAACATTCAAAAAAAGTTTTTTAAGTTTTAAGGATATCCGAAGATAGGTATAGTAGCTATATAAATTCCTGCAAGTACTTTGGTATTAACTCCTTGGAATGTAGACGTAAACAATACGATCTGATGTTTTTACATGCTATTCGCAACGGTTTAATTGACTGCCCAGACTTATTGTCGCTTTTACTATTTCACACCCCTTCTTCAACCAATACAAGGCAAAACCCAATATTTCAAATTCCTCGGTCTAATACAAACTTTTTACGTAGTCATATATCGTAAACCTTCAGATTATAACACAAATTACCAGCAAATAGATATATTTAATGTAACTAAAAAATGTTTAAAAAATAATTTAAAAATCTCGGGAATCTTTTATTAGATATACGTAATGACTTTATTATTCCTCTTTTAATATATTATAATAATCAATGCATCTTACAATTTATTATATATATTTTATTTTTGTATAAGTAGGTAATAATTGTTAACTGTGTTTTATGTTTATGTTTGAATGTGTATTCCGTTTTAAGCTTTTGCGTAATTATGTTTAGATTTTGTACAATAAGTAGCAGTAGGAATACAGATAAGCAAATAAATAAATTAAAAAAGGTTCGGAAATGGCTACGCAGCTTCAGAGTAATTGCTATCAGCAATTTACCAAATCGACCCAGTACTTGAACACTAGCCTGAACTGGTAATTTACTAAAATCAATGTTTAATTTCGATATTGTGTACAAAGTAAAAGACATTAAGATCGGGAGCGATAAAATATTTCTAATGCGACCAAATTATCACAAATCGATACACAAATAAAAACAAACAGTAGTAGTTTGACACAACCACAGAGTATTAGATTACGAGGGTAGTATTGATTAGAGTGACTTCGTAGATTGTAATTGTCGTAAAAGCTAGTCATTCATGGATGTATTTTGATTCGGTTTGCGGCGTTAATCACTATGTTATTTCGTTCTTTTAATTCCATAGATAATTCCAGTTTTGAATATAGAATCTATTTCGTTTTCTTTTTTTGTGTTTAGCAATAAGACATTCCAATATCGGAATTTGTTTCTTAATTTCAATGTCAAATGTCAAATAAGAAA